AAATGTCTTCAACTGAGAAGTCTTTAAACAAATCCAAAGTTTTCAACCAATGAATAGTCATAATAATTATCCTTTCTACAATTGCCTCCTTGGACTTCTCCACGCCTTTAAAGATTCTATTATTCCTTTCTTCCCAAACTGACCATAACATAACTGCTATTGTTCACAAGGCTCAAACAAGTTTGGTAGTATAATAACAACTAATTTGTTCTTATAACTTGGTGGGAATGGAATTTGAAACCATCATTGTGCAAGTTTCCTGAATCTCTAAGGGCCAAGGTTTTTATATGTAACTGAATTCAGAAAGGTATTGAATTTAAGAATTGAAATGGGCAGTTGTTGGAATGTGTAAAGTGAACAAAGTTGGGAAATGGGCAAAATGTGTAAAGCCGGAGTTACTTAAAGCCCACCACTGCTAATATAAGTTAAAGGCCAACCAATGCGGGGTCGGAGATGGAAACTTCATAATTCGTTGTCGTTTTCATTGAGCTTGAGACCAAAAGAACACCAGTTTACATAATATGCAAAAGGTGCAACTCTTTGAAATGCTGATGGGTACTCACCTAGTCATTTTGTCCCTAGGGCATGGTATTCAAGAGTTGCAGACAGGCAAGCCCTCAAATAACTGAATAAGAATCAGATCCTAACTTACAGTTCTTTGCAAGGAAAAAAATAAGGGGAATAAGAAGACTTACCGATGAACTCAGTAGAAGCCTCTTCCACGAATCGCAGAAGATTGATTTAGTAGACTGATTTGCGATTTGAAAACTGTAGAGGTACAGGGTTCTCTCTGGCAGTGGATGTTCTTCCTGAAAAGAAGGTTTGGGGAAGAAGCTAATGTTTGCCCTAAGCTTGTTAATAGGGGTATTTTCAACTAAACAAAGTCACCCCACTATGGGAAAGTAACTTACCCACCTCTGAGGTGGGTAAGATTTTCCCAGGTAAATGGCCAAAATACTTACCCAGGGGAATCTGTATTTTCCATGGGTCCCACATGTATTTGCAAAAGAACATAGGAAAGTTGGTCAACTTTCCCACCCCAACATAGCGGTAAACGAACGGGGCCTAACTGTTTCCCGCATCCAAGGGCATGCTATTATTCTAGAGCAGACAAGTTGGTCAAGTTCATGCTCTAAACAGAAAATAAAAAACAAAAAAAGATGGCTCTATTAGAACCCTGATTCAACAGAGCGCAGGCTCTACAATTCACAGTTGCAGTAGAAATTTAATTGTGGTATCTATTATATGCCTTCCTCTACACTGGCTCTATTTTTTGGAGCAGACAATTTACTTTTCTTTCAACCAACTTACAGAACATAAGTATAATTATCTTCTAGTAGTTGATGCAGGTGGTTACATGTCATATTATAGGCAATACAGTGATTTTGTGGTTGTCATGTAAGACAATATGCAATTGTATTAGGCAATGCATGTCTTCCTCAATCTATAGATGGAAGAATAAACATGAATTCTGGAAGAAAAAGAATGCAACTAACTTCATTGTGCAGGATGTTTCAATTCCTTGTTTATGGCTTTCATTCCATAGTCCATACAATCCCATCCCAGAAAGTTCTTTTTGTTAAACATTCTGTTTTCCCTGTTATTCTCTGCTCTCATATTTCCACATGTGTGCATACTAATCATACTTGGCAACACAAACACTGCTATTCAACAAGAAATACAGCAATTAAATTCCAATATTGAGATACTTCAAAAGAAAGACATGATGGAATTAGTTATTAATTTACCTTTTTAACCTTTTGGTACTTCTGCCTATTTTCTGCCATCAACCTCTCTCTCATCTAGCAAGTAGGAGTCAGGCATTTTAGCAAGGAAGAAAAGATGCCAACAAAAAAAATATAACAACCTTAAATCACCAAAATCCAATAGTCACTTGTAACAGAACATATACCTGAACAAGAAGATCAAGTTGCATGGATGGAGGCAGAGCAGCCAATACAGCTGGATCAACATTCCCATGCATTATTGGCTGCACAATCAAGTAGAGAATTTCTACTTAAACCTTTGAGTACAATATATAAAGTAATCATTGCGACCTGGGTGACCAGGGTTCAAATCTTGGAAACAGATTCTCTGTATGTGCAGGGTAAGGCTGCACACATCTATCCCTCCCCAAACCCCGCATTGATGGGAGTCTCGTGCACTGGGCTGCCCTTTATTTCGGATTTTAGAAACTATGTTTGGTCAAAATTCTGCTCCAAAACATCAATATTTGAAGAGCCAAAATTGATTATTTTTTAAGCTACTTTTTTAGCTCCAAAGAATCAATTCTCAGAACAAGTTTTTTTTATGAATTATTCTCAGAAGAAGTTTTGAGCCCAGGAAAAAAAAAAGAATTAGTTTAAACAATTCTCGGACATCCAAACTTAAAAATGATTCTCAGAATAACAAAATTAATCAGAACTAGTTCTCTAAAAGCATGAGAAACACAGTCTTAAAATTTGAAGGTACCCTTGTGCAATTATGCCAGCATTCTAAATATATAGGGGCTCATCAGAACTTAAGTTCACTAATACCATCTTTACCACAACAAAGGTTTTATTCGTCGTTTTATTGTGCTTAGTGTGATTACAAAGGAGAGATTGAGGATGATGCCACCCATAGAATTAGAGCATAATGGACAAAACGAAGGGGTGCATCTAGAGTCTTATGCCATAGGTGAATACCACTTAAATTAAAAGGAAAGTTTTATAAAATGGTTGTGAAGCCAACAATGTTATATACAGGGCTGTAGTTGTGTCAGATTCAGAAATAGCAAGAGAAATTCTTTTTATGGGGAAGTTCATTATTAGAGTTCAGTTTCAGGTTGTTAATGGATGAACCTTCAATGGGTCATAGATCTATCTGTTTTTACCAATAGTAATCAATAGAAATATAACCCAACAACAAAAGATTTCACCAAGAACTGACATTGAAAAAAGTTGCACCAGAGGAATGAAGTCTCGAATTGTAACCAACTGGAGCCACCCTAAACTGTGCAAGTTTGCTGAACTATCTCTTAGTCCAGATACAATCATCTTGTACTATAATGATTTCTATGGTTATAACAATTATTCTTCGTAACCCCTAACCTGCCCCTGCATAGCAAGGTGAGGAACTTAAGACACTAAGCTAGAGGTGAGCATTTATAGGGTAACCCTTACACTTGACCCGTCCTAAGATTTCATGAGCAATTTTCATTCCTTTCTTTTAGTTGTCCCATTCTTTTCTGAAATTAAGCTAACTTAGCAGATCCTTACCATTGAGAAATAAAAATAATCATATGAACATGCAAGCAGGGATTATTACTTGTTACAATGAAAGAATCTATTAAACCCATAGAAAGATAAAAACCTACAAGCATCATTTCCTCGTCATCACTGTCATCTTCCTCAGGAGGAATGCCACCAATAGAAGTAGATGCATTGATAGTGAGACTCCCATCTTCCTCTGCTGCAATGGATGCTGCCAACCTAAACTGACTCATCAAAACCAACTTACAAAAGCAAACAAACTAATAACTGGGCAGGGCAACAGTGTAATAGGGCGCTTACAACTCATCCAAACTTTCCTGATTGTAACCACCAGCGAGCGTATCATTTGTGGCAATGTTCTCTGTCGTATTAATGTGATCCGGTACAACATTTTTGCCCTTTGAGTCATTATTTTGTTTCTGTTTTTCAATATCCTCGGCCAGTTCTTTAAGTTTCATTGCCTTAAGCTGGGGAGAGTGGACGATAAAAGGAAAATCTATTAGTAACCAAAGCAACAAATGATATGTATATTCGGCAGAAACTAACGCTGATTGTAAGACTCAAAGTTCAGGAGGTATAAGAGAAACCTTTTTTTAACAGATATCATAGAATTATAAAATAGAAAATGATCTTATAAATTTCGGCATAAATTCCAGACAGACCGGATAAAGGAAAGTATTCCTGAATGGGCAACTAGAAACTCCACGTAATTAGAGATAGAGAAATTAGCTACGGAAATAAATTGACGATACGAACATGATTGAGTAGCAATTTCTCAGCGGTTTTTCGGATCTTCGCCTGAGCAATATCTCGCTGCCGACGACGGGCTATGACGGTGCGACGCTTGAGGGCAGGTGTACCACCATCAAAGACAAAAACGGGCTTGGTGCGGAGGAAGAGTAGCTTGCAAATGCGGCGGAAGAACCCTATGAGGTGAGCGTTCCTCACCATTTCCCCCTTTTCATCTCGCATCGCTTTCATGAACTGTATCATCCAAATACTTGCGTCTGCAAATCCAGAGGTTTTTACGGACGATATGTGAGATTGAGAATAAAGATATAGTTTCAGGATTTAGAATTAGGGCTAAGGATAGTAATTTGATGACAGAGACCTATAGCGAGCCTCTTTCCGGCGAGGGTCTCGACTGAAACGCGGCGGCCAACGGGAGCCAGAAGCTCCCAGAGTCCTTGAACACCCATGCTGATCTTGCTTGCAGTTCCTCCCTGTTTGCCGCCAAAAAACCGATAGATAGATGATCAGAAAATTTATGTGTCAACCGGGAGCAAATTAGCCAATTACTAACGTGCGTGCGTGGTCTTTGTATAACTATCGTCTCTCGCTGAGACCGAGCAGTGAAATATATTGGATTTGTGCTGGTTTGGTTTGTGTAAGAGAAGGACTGAAGGAAACTGCAAACGGGATCGAATTCAATCGGATTGCCGGTTTATAGTCCGAACTCCGAATATCAATAGGGTCTTATCGATTGGATTTGTACCGGATTATGGTCGAATTCGGATGGCCGCTTGGATATTGAAAGAGCATGGTTTTAAAACCATCGTTAAACCGGTCATTTATCCGGTTTTGTTTTCACCTGGCCCGAATTTTCCAAACAAAAAAAACATCGATTCGGTAAGCAAAATCACTGACCCACGCAATTGAACTGCTAAACAGTTAGATCATAAAACAATGTTTTTAAAATCGGATCGGACCGGATAGTTTAATCGAAAAAATAAAAAATAAAAAACAAACAAAACAGATCACCTGATTGGTTCCATTTTACCTTAAAACCATTATTTGGCCAAAAACCGTTGATTTGTTCAGTGAATTGCTGATTCAAGCAGTCAAACTATCGAACCATTTAACTCGGAAATGGTTTTTGCCATTTTTTAAATTTTTTTATTTTCTGTCAGAATGAACCGCCCATTTGGACTGGACAGTTAGACCATTCAACCCGGGAACTGGTCCTCAAACAGTTCCCTATCTGGTTCGATTTTAAAAACCTTATCATAAAACAGTTTTTGATTCATTTTCTTTTGGCTCAATTTGGAACGAGTATAAATACAAATATGTACAATGCAAATATATACACATAATAGAAAATATAAAATTTTGCACTTTATATATTTGCATTTGTATTCCTTCCAAACCGAGCATTTATTTCAATTGATTTCCAGCTTTTTAAAATGACATTGACCGATCCGTTTGGTCTAGACTGCTGGAAAGTTCAGCCCACAAACCAGTGGTCAAAGCGATTTCATTTATGGTGTTGTCGAATAATACAAATAGATTGAATTAAAACTGGTGAGAATATTGTATAATTTAGTAAAATCACAACATTGTGAAATGTAGAGGTAAGCATCTATATTTAAATCAAATTGAGATGAATTATTAGATGGAATGGATATATATTTGATTCAATATAAGTTGATTGAATTTGGATCGCCCCTATGTGCAATTTCAGGGTTCATTTTATTTGCAGCTGAAACGGGAATGGTCTATTCAAGTAATCTGTTTGGTTCAAACAAGAACGAGAATGGGAATTAGAATCAATATGAATGATATTTCATTCCTAAAAGAGGGGTAAGGAATGGGCCATTCCTTCAAATAGAGGAATGCCATTCCAACAGAAATGGGAATAGGATTCTGATTCCCCTCAACTAAATAGTTGGAATGGGAATAACTCATTCAGATTCCACTCTTATTCCCATAAACCAACAGCAACTATATGCTGCTTCCAATAGAGGGAGAGAGTAAAAATAAAAAGGCCATAAATTCCAATTATCAGCTTTTTTGAAAAATATCTTTTAGGTTGTGTTTGGTTTGGAATAAGAAGGTAAGGAAAATAATGATCCCTCCTAGGGGTGATCATTTCAGCCCCGCCCGGAAATTTTGGGCTTGGGCCTGGGTCCACATCAGGCCTGTAAATTTTAGGGCCGGGCTTGAGCTTAATACTTCAAGTCCGGCCCGGCCCAGCCCGCATATATTTAAACTTACACATTTTGTGTATAATGTATACATATGTATACATGTTATTTTATATTATATTATATATTTTATATATAAATATTATAACATGACATGTATAATTTATATTATATGTAATATTTTATATATGAATGACATTGACCCACAATCAGGCCCTGCCTGGTCCAAGCCCATATAGACTTAGGCTAGGGCTTATGTTTCAGGCCCGAAACCTCTGACCAGGTCAAACCCAGGCCTAAATTATAACCCTTATCATAAGTGCAGAGCCTGACACGGGCCCGACCCGACCCATGATCACCCCTAATCCCTCCCCCTTCTTTTCATACCAAACAAAGTCTTGCTTGGGGATTTCATTACAAGAGTAACAAGGTTCCCCTAATTGTCATTTTGTTGGTCCATGCATGATTTGCTTGAGTATTGAAATTAGCTGATTACATTTCAATAACAGTTGCGCTAAAACTTTCGTCAAAATTATTGTGATCATGGATCATTGCTTGTGATTTTTTTTCAAATTGAAATGGCTATAACAACAATAAAGGTTGAAAAGAAATAAGATAGAAATAGTAAAAATGATTTATTGCATTAAGCAGTAGTAGGATTTATGTAGCTGACCCCATATGTATGGTTACTGGCTGGAATAAAGATCGGATGATGATGTTGTTGGTTCCAGTAACAAACAGGATGACCTCTCCATCAACTATTGCGAATTTTAGATATAGTTGTTTAGTCAATATGGTTGACATTATTATTTTTTTAATACATTTTTCAGAGACATAGAATGTTCGATTAAGATTTTAATTTATTCAAATATAAATACATTAATTTACACAGGTGCTACACCTGGGCTCAGGCAGCCCAAAATGTCATTACTCGTTACTACCTTCTAAAAACTCAACTCGGGCCAGGTTCATGATCGTCCCTAGTAGAGACACATATGCATGGGCCAAATGAAAGGTTGAAATGTAAAACATGAGTAAAAACTTAAAAGTCCCAGACCCAATTCATTAAAGTCTGATCATATGCTGTGTTTGGTTGCATTAAAATTATAGTAGTGTAAATGATTTCACTGTAAGTTTTGATTTATTTTTGTTTCAAATTTTATAATGAATAAAATAAGAGCTAAACAGAATAAAATAAAATTCAAAACAAAATAAAACCAAAATTTATATTTTTTCATTTGCACTTTCATACATTTGTACTAGTGCAATGCACGTACATACATATATAATAATATAATATTTTATATTATGCAATGTATAAAATAGTTTTTAAACACATATTATATAATAAATAATATTAATATTTCATAATTTTTCTGGCCCGCCCCTATCCGCGTGATCAAATCCACCCAATCGAGTCTATGCAAATTCAAGCTCAATCTGTGTGTATATTTGCATACTGCATTTGGGTTGGTAAACTTCAGTTTTGACCTAAACTCAAGATTAAGGTCGTACGGTGGAGCTTGGGATCCTCGACTCCAATCACCCACCCAAAGAGTATGGATGGTCAAGGATTTTATCACAGCTCAGGGAACTTGGGATCCTCAACTCCTACATCAAGTCTTCAAAGCTTCCTCAATAGAGACAGTCTCCAGCATTCCTCTCAATCCACATCAACAAATTGATAGAATGATGTGGAAAAAATCAAAAGATGGCTTATAAATAGTTTGTTGAGCCTACAGGAGCTTCTCTTGTGAGGATGTAAAAGGTTCCTTAGAGGAGCAAATTCGATGGTCTAGATTGTGGGCAACAAAAGCTCCATTCAGATGTAAGTTATTTTGATGAAAGGTTTTGTTGAATAAGGTAAAGATGAAACAATCAACATAGAATTTGTGGCACTCAAGAGATGTGAATTGTACCTTATGTGGTAGTACACTTGAAACCCAATCACAAATCTTATTTGAATGTCCTCTAGTAAGGGCGGTTTGGCTAGTTGCCCAAATTGGTTTCAACCCATGTGCGTTTTATTGCATTTGGGTTGGCAGATTTCTTAAGCTGGTGGTTGGAAAGAAATCTTGGATTAAGAGATCTCAATAGCTTTTCCATGAATATTAGCCATTATGTGAGTGCTTTGGGATCACAAAAATAAGGTGATTTTCAAAGGCAAGTCTCCAGACCCCCTATAAGTCATAAGGCTGGTGAATAAGTATATTCTCGATACAGGAGAATACCAACAGATTGACACCCAATGTGTTAGTGATTACTCTTATCTCTTTACCCTTCATTTCTCCTTCAACTTACACTCGCTAGTTATAGTTGACAGATATTGGAATTCAAATACTTGCCAAGTTTCTACAGGTTTGTACTTATTATCTTACACATACAATATTTGCATTGTAGAAGGCCAACAATGCCATGCCATTAACACCATATAAGTTAAAATTTGGATAGTCATCAGAGGCCTAAAAAATAAACATTAAATGGAACTAACATRCTCTGCTGTCTGCTATACCACATTAATTATCTCTTTTTTTTATGATTTAAAATTAATGAAATCAACAAGAAGGATGTTAGCCATGCCCATGCTATAACGACAAGGGAAAATGTAAATAGAACTCAGCTTTTGGTTTCTAGACCTCTGCCCCAGAGAAATCACTCATACTTGTGTAACAAAGGTCTAATTTTGTATCATTGATTTTAATGTTTCTAATGGATCTTATATCTATCTATTAATACGATATGGGTGTTCTTTCCGTGCAATGAAATTTACTCGTGCGAGTAGATCGAAAGTCCACATGAGAGCGATCCAATCGTGTGAATCACTGTAGCTTGCTTCATCAGCATCTACGTCTATAAACAATTCGAGAAAGAAGTAAATTCGTGACTAACACGTGGCATCATTCGAATTTGAAACCCTTCCACATGTCTACGCTTCTTCATTGCATGATACGAGTTACGACACTTCTCCAAGCATCTCTGTCTCCTTCATTCTATCAGACCACTTCCCTTGCTGTTTTTTCCTTCTCTCTCTTTCCCCCTTCCACCCTTTTTCTTTGAATCACTTTCTCTTCCCACTCTCCCTCTCTTCTCTACCTCTTTTCCCGTTTCGTCGTTTTCCTCACTTTTGTTTCTCTTTCCACTCTCACTTTGTCTCTCCATATCGGTTTCCCCTTCGGCGCTCCTTCACTCAGACCAACTCTGACCGAAACTTCACGAGCTGAGGGTTGTGGAGAGAGTTCTTGTGCTTCCGTCTCATCAAGGTTTTTTGAGGGTTGGGTGTTGCAAAGAGGGTTTTGGAGCTTCCATCTGCTGTTGGGGTGTTGCGGGAGAGGGTTTTCGAGGGTTGGGTGTTGCGGAATGCGGAGAGGGTTTTTGGGGTTCCGTTTGCTGCTGGGGTGTTGAGGAGAGGGTTTTTGGGCTTCCGGCTGCTACTGTAGTTTTTGTTCACTGGTTGTTTGCCTGCTTCGAAGGTTTTTTGTTCACCGGTTGCTGGAGAAGGGGACTCGTCATGCGTTGGCTGTTGTGGGTCTCTGTCATCTACTCTTTGTCCCTAATGTGCAATGCAGTGATCTGACCCCATGCTCACCATTCTTCTCAATCATCTCCGCCTCTCTCAAACCCTGAGCCTCGACCAGTGAGTAGGGGGTGAGAGCGAAGTGGTAAAAACAAAACGTATGGGTGGCTATCATGGTTCTAGTGAGTGGTGGCTCTGCTTCTACCGTTCCTCCTTACTTTTGTCAGCTGAGGTATGGGTGGGCATGTGGTTCTGGTAAGTGGTTCCGATCCCATGTGAGATTGTGGGTCTCTACCATCTACTCTTTGTCCCTAATGCAATGTAATGCAATGCTCTGACTCCACGCTCACCATTCTTCTACTGCTCTCTAATTATCTTATTAGTGCAACTCAAGCTGCTCAGTCTCAGCTCATCAATCCCTTGACTTAGCCCAGTCAATCGATTTTTAATTTGATTTACTTAATTTATCGACTCCCCAGTGAACCGATGGATTTCTGTTGTTTAGTTATTCATATTTCATAAGCCCTTGAARCCAACCAATTATCCTTGTTTTTTGGTTCAGACGCCTTGACAGCGACCTCCAAACTGCAATCCAACAGTACTGTATATAGAATGGACCTCATTGATTGTCATTTACAAATTGTTTATTTGTTCTTTTTTTTTAATTTATTTTGTAATATCTGAATTTAGTATATTCTTCTACAATTGCTATAATTATGTATGTTCTTCGGCACTTGCTGTAATTATGTATGTTCTCGTAGACTTCTTTTAGATGGATCAATGGTGCGCTGAACTAATTAAAAAGATTTTCCTGCTTTTTACATGTTGTTTTCTTGTTAATTTTTAAGTCTTCTTGTTTTAATTACGTATATTCTTCTACTCTTGCCGTAACGAGTCATTGCAACTTTCAAAGTGCAATTATTATTGCTGTTTAGTTTTCCTTTTTATGGTTAATACTTGATTCTTTATTTTATTTTTTTCATTTCCTTGACTAGTCATTCCAACTTTATGTGATTAATCATGATCATCTTCATCAAGCAGGGAAATTTTCCAGATAGTGATAATTAAGCTAACCCTGTATGTAAATCTTGTTGGGACTGATGTTTTGCCCAATGACCACATGGTATGGTAATTGTCTATAGTTTTTTATCAAATGTCATTTCTTTCTTTTCTCTTTCCTTTAACAAAAAGCAAGAACTCCACAAATTTCCTTTATTTTTCTATTGTCGTAGGTACAGACTATGCTGCCAATCTTTTCTCTTGTAACCTGTTTTAATAATTTATTTTCCCTTATTGAGCAGGTTTTGGTTTTTATTGAAGATGGAAGATGATCAGTTGGGACAACCGCAAGTTTGAATCTCTATCCTGGCCTTTAATCACATACCATTAATCTTATCCATTGAAGAGCATGTCTGCTATACAAAGTGMTTCAAATAGCTTACCATGTTTTTGTAAAGAACGAGTTTTGTTTTTTGTTTTTTTTGTTTTTTTTATTTTATTTTGTAAGAGGCATATGAGTCAAAACTTTACAACTTAATGTCTCTCTCATTAAATTCATATGGGCATTGTTTATTACACCATTTCCAAATATGTAATTAATTTCTTTCAAAAACATATTTCTGCAATCCACAATTAATTGCTCACTATTTCCGAAACACCCCTTGTGTTGTTTACATACTTCCTGTAGTTTAATTTACCGTGAAAACATAATTTTAAGATTTATTTTTTTACACTCATTAGCCCCTGCAACGCAGGAGCCACCCCGCTAGTCATTTGCTTATAAAAAAGATCAAGGTCGTACGGTTGAGCTTCGGTTGGCTGTTATTGATTGTTTATTTTTTCCATTGATTTATTCAAAAAAACACATTTAATAATCACAAGATGAGGTCATTACAGACGTTGTCAAAACAGAACTCCTTACTCTTAATATTTAATAAACAGCAAGTTTCTTTTGGGTTTGACAAATAAAGGGCAACTCATGCACTCTAGGAGTTTTAAGCGCCCATAGTATAGATTATAGAATAGAGGGCAGGAAATAAATTGTAAAAAAAAAAAGGGAATAAAATTCAAAGAAAATATATACACGACTACACGTTAACCCCGCTTATGCGTATTGTGGAGTTGGGATCTATTCCAACAAAAAATGTCCCAACATAGTTCTAACAGGATCTATGTTCACACATCTCACCGGTCACTGTGAGATTGGGATTCGAGTTCACATCTACACCCTACAACGTCCCACCCCACAGCACATTTCTGCCATGTATTGATTGTATTAGAACCGATGATATCATCATGGGGAGATGTTTTTAATACATGGCAGAGATGTGCTGTAGGGCGGAGATGTAAACTCTTGGGATTCACCATGTACGTGACATACACAAAGGTATGTTGAAAGTTACACGCATTGGAACTTGCAACAGTTTGCTGTTGTGAACAGATCTGGCCTCCAATGCACATTACATATATGAAAGAGCAAAATGATTTATGTTAGGCTTCCTTTTGTATATTTTCGTGGTCAAAACTCTCTTGACCATGGAGAAAATTCACATCTCCGCCCCACAGCACATCCCACTGTTTATTGAAAATATCTCCTAATCATAATACCACTCTCAACGATCTTTCCAGTACACAGCGGGAATGGGGCGGAGATGTAATCTCGCGACTAAGAGGCTGGCTGAAATTCACAGTGCCTGGTGGGTAGCATTGGGCTAATACTTGAAATCACGGTTTTGAGTATTTTGGGCTCCCACCTTAACGCCACTTCATCCGATTTAAGATGGCTGGGTCACATCAAGGGCTGTAATTCATACCCATGACAAATACGAGAGAGGTTCCCAAATATATACACGGGGATGTGATGTGACGTGTGGTGTATGTGGAGCGCTCCGTATGGGGAGCCCATCCGAACTCGTCCAAGAGTATGTGTAGCCTGTAAAAGTGCAAATAATTATTTTTTCGCTTCAACAACAGGGTTAGCCCATCCCCTTTCCCTCAACCCCTCCAACCCTTGGTGGTTTGATCATTTGGGTCAAATAGTTTAGATGGTTTAATCTTTTATTAAGAGAAATAAACATATCTGATTGTTGGCACTTAACTGAGGAAAAAGGAAAGGAAAAAAGAAAATAATGAAAGAAAGGAGGGAGATAAAGAAATAAAATAGATAAAGGAAAATAAAAGGAAATGAATGAGAGAAAGAAAATGAATGAAGTAAGAAAGAAGAAGAAAGAAGGAAGAGAGATAAAAGAGGAGGAGGAGGAGGATCATCCAACATTCATTGGTAATGGCAACAACAATGAAGATGGCAGCAGCAATAGCAATGCATCATCTGAGCATCAAATTTCTCTCTGATATCAGATATGAGATATGAGAACTGAGATCTCAGATCTGATTTCTTGTGATCTCTCTCTTTCTCTAGGATGATCTCAGATATGAGATCATTCTTCATTCTTTTTGTATTTGAATCTCCCTTGCCTCCTTGTTAAACTGTGAACTGCTATTCGGGATGAATAAATCGACAATTCAACCACCTAGATCAACAGTTCTTTGACCAAATCAACGGTTTTAGACCCAATAACATATTAAGGGTGAAATGGAACCAATTACCTAAATGATTTTCAGATCAAACGGTCCGATCATCTGAATCAACTGGAAAACACTTATCCTATCCCTAATGGACGAGCAATCTAGCCGAGTGCAGACCTATTGTGAATCCGGGCTAAGCTTCTGTATTGAATCTGGTCTTTAGTTCGTGCGAATTCGCTTCTGCGCTCCAGAAGGTGCGCCCCACAGCATATCTCAACCGTGTATCGAAAACATTTCCCACTACAATGTCTTCGGGAGATGTTTGCAATGCACGTGCATGTGGGGCGCAAATGTATTCTCAGCTCGTGCAGTCATTTATTGCTGGTCCAACCGTCCAAGTGGTCATGGACTGGGTTTTGTGATTCACAGGTGTTCACCAGTCTTCAAAGACACGCGAGAGGGGTGCCCATCGTTTTGGCGGTCCTGAATTCCTTTTATTTGTTCCTTGTTGCTGTGATTTCGTTCTCTCTCTCTCTCCTTCGTTCGACCCAATGGAGAAGATTGGTACCTCCGAATCTGAACTGGAAAATCTATTTAATGAGAAGAAGCGCACCAAGAATCCTTTTGTCCCTATAGGTAATACACTCGCGTTTAATGTTACGTACAATTTGTATATTCTGACTCATTATTCATCATTACATTCACACTGGTTACTTGGTTAGAAGTTTGAATCTTTTAAATATCGACCCCAACAGTTTCTTTTATTTTTTCGTAGTCCGGGGTTTCTGCGTTTCATGTTGTCCTGAATAATATGTAAACTACTTGATAAGCAATTGAGAGGAATTGACTTGGTCATAATAGATTGGCTACTGATTTCCATATCCGGTTATGTTAACGTATCTTAGTGACTCGTTCTTAATGGGGTTTTCCTGGAATTGATGGATCCTGAAGGGGAATGAGGGAGCATATGGTAGAAGGGAAGAAGAAAATATTAATCACTGGACTGGAAAAAATTAAAGGGAAGGCAAATAGAGCATATTCAGCCCAGTGTCGATTAGCTCACTATCTCARCACGTTTAGAGACCCTATATGAGTTAGATTCCAATTCCCAAGAGAGCACAATTCTGTGGCCGAGGATTTAGGCATTTAGCTAGAGGGGGAGTGGGGAGGATCTTTCTGTGAGCTATAGTCCTTCCTACGTTTTTTGATGGAAGATAGGGCTTCAACAGTTCATTTTTTTACACCACGTCCCCTCATTTAAATCCTTTTCCTCCCAGCAATGGAATTTTTAGTTACTTTCTTAAAAAGGGAGGCAAATAATACACACCGTGGAGGAATTAATGAGGAAAATGGAGGAGAAGGAAACAGAAAGATTGTAAGATGATTGATTGTCTCAAGGAGGAAAACTCAGACTAAGGGGATTATTTCAGAACGAGCTCAAACATAATACCATACGAAGGTGGTGTGGGTCTAGGTGTTGGTTTTACTTGACTGCCAAATGTTTGGCCACCTCCTGGTGGCCGTAAACTAAAGTTTACATTATAGTATTTCTAGATATAAGTCCATTTGTCTAATGAAATGTATTACTCTTAAAATTACACTCTGTTTATCCCAGCCATATCTGACACAGATATGGCACTCTTACCCATGTTTTACATTGTTAACATCGTTAGAACTTAGAACCTAGGATTTTACGTGTCTGGTGACCTTATGTTTGGTCATACAACAAATTCCAGAGAGGTTAAAGACATGGTAATGCCCCATACAACTAGTAAGTAGAGACATCTTCTATTCCTCTTGTTGAATTTGGGTTCACATTCTCTGATCCAGTTGCATATTTTTTTGCTTCTAAAACATAGTTAATTCATTAAAATATAATTGATACAAGAAGGTAGACTACCTGCCCATTCCCCATACTGACTCAAACTAAGACTCCATTTATCTAAGTTATGAGCTAATACATTAAGTCTCCTACCAATAAAAGAAAAGGAAATATGACAATGAGTAGAAGCCAATTGTTCAGCATCACAAAGTAAATATTCCCATCGTCAAGGTACAGTAGCCAATCCACTAGTCATATGTAAGGGTGTCAATGGACCGGTTTTGGATTGGACCCCGTCCAATCCAAAATCAATTTGGATGGACCAACAAGACATATTGGATTGGACCAATCCGATCCAAAATATTTGTTAGATTGGATTGGACCTGGTCCGTCCGTAACAAATTTATATTGGATTGGGTTGGATTAAGCCAATATCTGGTCCATTGATATAAGATAAGAATATAKGTGTYAATGGA